TTTGTTTCATTTTGTGACAGGATTTCCTGTAGCCCTGGCTGGCCTCAAACTCACTATTTAACCAAGAGTCATCTTGAAGTTCTCATCCTCCTACTCTGGGTTGCTGAGATTATGGGCATGTGACATCACATCTGATTTATACAGTGCTGGGTCTCAAACTAAAAGCTTTGTGCATGCTGGATAAGTTCTCTACCAAGTGAGCTGTGCCCCCAGCCCCAGGTCTGTGATTTTTGTTTGACAAATGCATATAGTTGGAAGGCTACTATAGCCAGCTGTGGTTATATCATCCACACTTGATTCTGCAGCAATTGTTTAAGCATCACCTTTTCCAGGACAGTCTACTTATTTTTTTTATAGAAATGGCAATTCTTTGTACTCATCTCATCAGTGTATATTATATCTAGTTCAATTTTAAAAGTACATACAATATCAAGTGTAATCCATGCTGGACTCTCACACCATAGTGACTGTGGGCATCCTAGTTTGCTTTCTATTACTGTGATACTGTGCTCAAAAGTAAATTGGAGAGGAATGAGTTTATTTGACTTATAGTTCCACACTACACTCCATCATTGAGGGAAGTCAGGGCAGGAAATCAAAGCAGGAACCTGGAGGCAGGACTGAAGCAGAGACCATGGAAGAATGCAGCTTACTGGCCTACTCCTAATGGCTTGCTCAAGTTCAGGGACTCCCCAGTAGCCTACTTCCCACTCATAGTTTTGTGGGCATCTGTTGGTATATTTCACTGAAGCAATGGGAATCGGATAGATACAGAGAGTCAAGTATATGAGGGTCTGCCAAGATACCAACGCTTTGCCCATGTTTGCCAGGAACTGAACCACTGCCCAGACTTTGGTATTTCAGTGATGGTCTCATATTTTAAACACGATCTGGGACTAGAGCAACAGCTCAGTGGGAGAGCACTTTGCCAGCATGCCCTGGGCTCTGTACACACACACACACACCACCACCACCACCACCACCAAGGCTAAGCACCATTTTGTAACCTCAGTTTCCTCACAAAGAGATGAGCCCAGTTGGTAGAATTCTTCCTTAAGCCTTGTGTGAGGCCCTGAGTTCAGTGACACCCCCCTCCACACACACACACACACACACATTGCAACTACAAAAACCGAGAGTGGTGACACATGCTTATAATCCTAGCACCTGGAAGAGACAGGAAGATCCTGAGTTCAAGGTCATGCTCAGCTACTTAAGTGAGTTTGAGGACAGCTGGACTATGTGAGATCTTGTCTTTAAAAGAAAAGCCAGACGGTGGTGCTGCTTACCTTTAATCCCAGCACCCTGGAGGCAGAGGCAGGTGGATCTCTGAGTTCAAGGCCAGCCCCGTCTACAGAGTGAGCTCCAGGACAGCCAGGGTTGTTAGACAGAGAAACCCTGTCTTGAAAAAAACAAAAACAAAGCCAGGCGTTGGTGGCACACGCCTTTAGTCCCAGCACTTGGGAGGCAGAGGCAGGCAGATCTCTGTGAGTTCGAGACCAGCCTGGTCTACAAGAGCTAGTTCCAGGACAGCCTCCAAAAGCCACAGAGAAACCCTGTCTTGAAAAAACAAACAAACAAAATCAAAACAAAACAAAACAAAACAAAAAGGTCATTAGGAGCTGGGCAGGATGGTATATCCTTTCTGTGTGATCCCAGCACTCACACACTTGGAAGACAGAAGCAATTCAAGTCACCCTCTCCTAGACAGCAAGTTTGAGTGTAGCGATTCTGAACTACAAGAAAAAAAAAAGAAAAGGAAGGTGAGAAGGGAAGGAGTGAAGAGAGAAATTAAAGAAGGGGAAGTGGATGCAGGAGGATCTAGGAGTTCAAAGCCAGCCTCTGATATATAACAGACTGGGCTACACAGTGAGACCCCATCTCAAACAAAGGCTTTGGGTTCACACACATAAAGGGGCAAGCTTGGGATGCCAGAAACTGGCCTCCTTCAGGCAGGTCTGCTTGGCCAGCAGGCTTTCTACTCTCTCTTCAAGGGTAGATAGGAGCCCTGGAGGGATGAGCCTGGAGAATAATTGCAGGGAGCATTGGGATGGTCCTTAGGGTGGCAGGAGGCATGGGGAAGGTGACCGGGTAAGGTGGGGCGTCTGAGAGCCCTGGCCCTCCAAAGTCCTCCTCACTGGCTCTCTCCTTGCACCCCTTCCTCCACCCCAGCTCCTCAGGATGTTCTTCAGGCAGCAGGATGAGATCCGGAGGTTGAAGGAGGAGCTGGCACAGAAGGACATACGGCTCCGTCAGCTCCAGCTGGAACTGAAAAACCTGCACAACAACCCCAAGAACTGTTAGCCCCTCCATGGGCTGTTTTCCAAGCCAATCTCTCCGTTGTTTCTACTGGTCCCTAAACTGCCCCTTATCTATTGAGCCCAGAGACAGGGCCTGGACTGGAGCTGGGGACTAGCCGATAGACCCTACCTACCACCTCAAGAACTGGAAGCTGACCTTTGACCTCCTAACTTCATGCTAATACCAGTCCCCCAGCCTCTCCTGGAGAGCCCACCCCTGACGGGCAGCCCCTTTCCCTGCAACCACAGGAGCCAGGCTTCCCTTGGCTCCCTCAGGATGCCCTCCCAGGGATGGAGAGAGCAGGATTATAGCCTGACTTAGAACTTGAATCTGCCCCCTGCAGAGGGGCTGCCAGGACCTACCCACACAGCTGGGACTGGGATGCTGCTCCCAGTCCCAGCATCACTTCTGAAGCACAGTGAGGGCTGGATTGAGGGTGGAGTGTCCTACCCACCTCCCACCTCATTCTGCTCCCAGCTGCCTCTCAAGCCCAGTTCATCTCACCCAGCGGTGAGCACCTGGCAGCCCTTCCCTACTTCTTTCTTAACTTTCCCCCACCCCCTTGTCTTCAGGGAATGAAGAGGATACTCTCCAAGGCCATAATGACCCCTTGCCTTTCCCATGGTCCTCTTCAAAGCTCTTTTATATCGCTTTTCCATTTAATTTGTGATCCAGGCAGGGTAGGGATTAGTGTCCCCACTTGTCAAATGACAGAACCGAGGGTTGCAATCAGGTTGTAACTCACAAAATCACCCAGAGGGGCAGCTGCAGACCAAGTACCTTTGGCATCCAGAGCCCCCCGACCAGGGCCTTTCCCAGTGTATTGAGATGCCAATCCCTTTGTGGGCTTCTCCAGAATTAGACCCAGAAGCCACTTCTCCTGTCTGCCCGACACCAGTAGTGCCAACATGCTATACTGCCCGGTTGAGGCCCTTCACACCCAGTGCCCCTGGACCCTCCTGGCCTGCACTCTTTGCTCTCACTCCCCCCAGGGGGGCTCCATCTGAGATGAGGCCTCTTCTTGGAATCTGAGGCTGAGAAGGGTAGAGCTCAGCCCTAGGGCAGGCAGAGCAAGGATGACCAGGGAAGCTCTGCCTGTGCCCCCTCTGCCTTCCCCTTCCCACTTCCAGCCCTGCTATCTCAGCCACTTTCAGCCTTACACATGCAGGATGACCACAGCCACTCCTCCACATAGCTCTTTAAAGTTTACCCAATTTTTTGACACATAGATCTCACTGGCTCTTGCATCTGCCCTACTTTACAGTGACCTTCGGGTACACAGCTCTGAGATGCTACATCTCCTTTGGTCTTCTACAAGCTTGATTTATTCCCTCTTCCCTTTCCTCTTTCCATTCCCCGCCTACCACATGGAGCTCAAAAGCACTGATGTCACTGATATTTGGGCAGAAGAGATGTGGGTATCTCTGTCATTGCCTGAGATCTGCTACACACAGGACACTCCTTGCCTGCTATTCCTGTGGCTACCCTGCAAAACTGTCCAACCACAGAGGCCCTGCTGGGGAGCCGGGAGGTGATATTCCCCAGTCTTGGGGCCTCTCCTCTCCAACCAGTGATGGTCCCTGCCCCCAGCCTGCTGAAACAGCTTCTCCTGCACCACCACAGCTAGACTTCCAGCTCTCATCGCCTCCTCCACACTTCTGGAGCTTTCTTTCTCTCCATTGACCTTTGTGGTCTTCTGTGATTATTTATGCTGCCTCCCAAGGATAGAATTGAAATAAAATGTTTTCACTTATCAAGCCAAGGCATGGCCATGTCATTTAGCCCCAGGGAGATCCTACTTTGCTCACCATATTGTCTCACAGTCACAGCTCCTTTGTCTTTCTGAAGTGATAGCTACCTCTGCACAGCTATCCTGCCACATTCTGTTCATCTGGCACTTTTGATATTGTGGGACCAACAATGCTTTGCTGTGGGGGCTGCCCTGTGCACTGTATAAGTGCTCTCCAGTGTTCCTGGCTTAACACATCTGATGTCATAGCAAGCTCCACCTAGTTTTGACAGACAAAAATGCCCCTGATATTGTTCAGTAATTCTGGGGGGTATCAGAATCACCCCCAATTCAGAACTAGTGTTCTGGGGCTGGTGAGATGGCTCAACAGGAAAAGGGACATGCCACCAAACCTGACAGGCTGAGTTGTAGGAGGAGAGAACTGACTCCCTTTAATTGTCCTCTGACCTCCACACATTGACATGGCACTCTTGTGCACTTGTCTACACAAACAAAGATTACAATTTCTTAATGAACTACTTCCTACAGTTATTCAGAAGACATTTGCTATGGTCAAGTATAGTGGCTCAAACCTATAATTCCACCACTCAGAGGCTGAGACAGGAAGATTATCAAAGTTCCAGCCCAAACTGAGATACACAGAAAGGCCCCATTTAAGAAGAGGTCTACACTAGGATATATAGCTCAGTTGGTGGGATGTTTTCCTGGAATGCATGAAGCCCTGGATGTGGTCATAAGCACGAAATAAACTGGGGACGGTAGCACATATTTGCAATCCTAGCACGTGGGAGGTGGAGGAAGATCAGAAGTTCAAAGTTAACCTTGACTACATAGGGAATTCGAGGCCAGTCTGGGCTATATAAGATCATATCTGTTTAGTATCCAATCTTGTATCAGGGTCTGGGAATACTAGTGTCTTACACTGGAGTGGCACTTGACAGTCTGCAAGGTACTGGGCCGTATCTTTGATTCCGTAGGTTCTATTACTGTGCTGGTGGAACAGTGATGTGCCCAAGGTCACTGAACCAGTGTCATGGGGAAACCAAAAGATGGGGATTTTCTGGGTCTAGAGACAGAGGAGTTTAGTGGAGCCTGCTCCAGGAGGTTACTGGGGTCCATCATGAGATCAGAGATGGTGGACACCAGTGGCCTCACAAGCCGGGCCTCTATGAGAAGAGGGTTGTCAGTTTGCCAAGGGGATGCCACAAGTAACTCAGAGAGCCAGAGGAGCTAGCACAAGCTTAAGTGTGGAGCTTCAGAGGACTTTAGGGGAACTGGGCAGATCCCATTCTGGCTTTAGATCCCATTCTGGCCCCAATGTGGGAAATCCTGCACTTCACTTTTTCTGCACTGGGCAGCATTTCCCTAGCTGTACAATAAGGGATGAGAACAATTCCCAGGAGCCCTTCTTGGTGGAACACCTGAGGTTTCCATGATGCCGACTGCTAAGAGGATGGACAAATTCCCAAGACCATCCATTGCCTGGCACAAGTGATACAAACAAGCTCAGCAGGGACAGGGGAAGCAGCAGGGGATTCCTGTGAGATCAGAAAGCAGCATTGCCAAACATGCGTTTGGGCAAAGATTCTCCCGGAGTTTCTGCTTCTAGATCAATTCTCAAAGCCTAGATTTTAAGGATTCCTGAATCCATTCAGAGTATGGTCCACAAGAACTCCTCATCAGCTGTCAGGGAAGACAGAGCTGTCACCTGGCTGAGACTGCCCTGCCTGGGCCCAGGGGAGCAGGTAAATGAGTGAATAAGATGATCTGTCTGCTCTTCTGGTCCACCCATTCTGAGCCCAGCAGAACAACTCCTTATCCATTGCTTGTAATGGTAAATTAGGTAAGGTCAATATCACCCGTGCCTCCTCCTTCAGTAGCCCATCTTCCAAACTGTGTTTCTTGAATGATTAGCTTCCGATTGGTTACCAATGTGTCCTTAAATTCTTAATATGCTGTGCTGGGGATGTAGCTCAGCAGAGTCTTGCTTAAAATACTGAGACGCCTGAGTTTGATTCCCATCACTGCATAAATCAGGCATGATAGCATATGCCTGTAATCTCAGCACTTGGGTGGTGGAGGCATGAGGTCCAAAAGTTTGAGAATACCTTTTACTATTTAGTGGGTTCAAGGCCAGCCTGAGTTACATGAGACCTTGTCTTAAAAAAAAAAAAAAGAAAGAAAGAAAAAAAGAAAGAAAAGAAAACTTATGCTATGACACCTTCTACACCTAGTCTGTCATATTGGTCTCTCTGTCAATGATGACTCAATCCTCCACACAGCTTTAATTAATTAAAGATGGAGAGGGGAGGGAGCCCTTCATGGCTCTTTAAACCATCTCCATTGACATGCTTCCCACCAGATGTTATTCTTGCTTTTTCCCCAGGTAAGGATGCACTGGGCTAAATTCCAGATCCCTCTCTTCTATGAATAGGCATTTATGTCTCTGTAGGCAAGGATACCTCTCCTAGGCATTACTAGAACTCCTGTCCTTCCCTGAAGCCTAACTGGATTTCCAACTTGGTTTAGCACACACCCAGGGAGCTGGAGAACTGAATACCCGGCACTGAGCCCCAGGCACTCCAGCCATACCTATCTATGGCATCCAACCACAAACAAAACACAGAGCACTGACCATGGAGGAGCTTCCCTCTGGGATGGGGTGGTCATCAGGCCAGAGAGGTTGCTGGCTCCTAGGCTGTCTTCCAGCCAGTCTTCTGAGATCTCAAGATGGTTCAGGCATTTTTAGACTCCAAGCACTGGGCAGGCATCCAAGATTGTCAGCGGACCTATGCAGAACCTGGCTGCTTCTTCACTGTGGGAAATGATTTCATACCGAAAACAACCCCCAGCCCTGCCCTGCCTTCTAGCTTGGAACTAAGATGCCATGGCTAGGGCTGCATGTAGCAGCAGCGGACAGTTAACCTTGGCCACAAGGAAGAATTACTAGATGCCCCGGAGCCTGTGGGCCTACAGAGAGGCAGAGAGTGAAAGTCTCTCTCTCTCTCTCTCTCTCTCTCTCTCTCTCTCTCTCTGTGTGTGTGTGTGTGTGTGTGTGTGTGTGTGTGTGTGTGTGTGTGTGTACAGGCTCCTGCTGGGACAACAGAAGCTCCCAGTTCTGGGGAATGTTTTCTATCTTGAAATCACCTGCAGGTTGTTATTTCAGTTCAGTAAAAGAACAGTGTCAGCCTTATTCCTGCTCCTTCCCTGTCACCTGGGTCCCTAGTAGGTCACTACCTTAAGATTAGTCACT